TTATGAAACCCACCTCAGCAATAAGTCTTGATGTAAAATACATGTAAATGTAAAATAATAAAAAAGCATGGACTTGGAATCAGTTCTTGTCCGTCCCAGAGCTGTAATGTGCATACCTGTGCAGATGTATGCCCCATGTCTACACTCTCTCCTGTTTGACAGCCCTCATTAAAGGACCTCTGCAGGCAAAAACCCAAGAGTCATTGTCCTGGGTGGTTTTCATATCAAATTGCTTGTCACAGATCATCATTTTAATCTCTCCTCTCTCTCTTTTTTTAACTCTTTGCTTTAGCTCTGCCAACATCCCAGGATATACTGGCAAGGTTCATTTCACAGCCACCCACCCGGCAAATTCTAATATCCCACCAACAACCCCATCACCAGAGTCCGAAGTGCATCAGTAAGTATGAATCCCATTATTTAATGTTCTCAAATATATTAGGCAGAAATCCTAATTTGGTTGTTCCATTAAAGAGTAATTAAATACTAACAGTAAATTTAAATTATTTTTTAAATGGGGTGTCTGGTCTGAAAGAGAGTGAGGAACATTTCTTAGGAAGGAAACTTGATTAGCCTCGTTCTAAATTGCACTGTGACGCATATGCAGGTCGATATTGCAGAAGGAAGAGTATTAAGGTATTTAAGGCATCACCGGTGGAGAGCAGTTTTGCCCTGTGGGCTCACAGCTTTGCAAACATATTATCCTTCTGCTTAATCATCAGAAGATGTGTGTTATGTGGGTGTACAAGACATGAGACACACATTTATTTCTTGGGAATCATCACTATACCTTTTCTAAGAGTCAAAATTCTATTGAATGTCATATATATATATGTTTTTTAAAATGTTTTATTGTGAATTATGTGATAGTTTACATGGGAGAACATTAGCTTTACATTCATCCTTTCCTATATGGTTTCATTGTCATGGTTACAATCCCCTCCATGCATCATCAACTAACCAAAGGGTATACCCTGCAAGCCTGCCCCCCGGTTGTCAACACATAGCCCCTCTCCCTCTCTGGACTAAAGTCCCCAGCTGCTCCATCTCTCCA